ACGGTGGACCTGAAAGACAGGATCAGATGGCTGGAGTGTGCGACCGCCAACTGTGATGGGTCCTGCGAGGATATTTCCAGCGAGTCCTTCAGGAAGACCTTGGAAAGCGCGTGCAACAAACCGTTGCCCGATGATCACCAGGCCGGGTGGGAGATCCTCGTCGGGAGATGCTGCCCGATGTCCAGATCTCACGAAAAGAATCGTTTATGTCCAGAAGAGAGCTTCAACACCGACACCCGGAAAATTCCCGTGCTAATTCGCATACATCATTCTTTAGGCGATGGGGAGGCCATTATAGGCCTATTGTTCAAAGCGATAATCGAAGAGGACGAAATGAAAACGGCAAAAGCGAAGATCAAGGGTACCGCCTCGTCAGGCGAGACTGAAGAATGTTTCAAGTCGTTGAAACAGCAAGTAAAAATTTCGACCAATAATATGTGGTTGAATCATAAAGTTATCGCACTGAAACAACTAAACGGAAGAATTAAAGAGATCACCCGGCTAACAATGGCTTTACTTTCTTTTCCGAAATATTTTATTCAACAAGCTCTTCGTAGCACGGATGAAAAGTATGTTCAGTATTTAATCTGTTGAAATAAAAAAAAATTTAATCCATCTTATTGAAAATAGATGAATAAAGAGATTTATTTTTCTATCAAACTGAATGCCTGAAAAGAAGCAAAAAAATAGAAAGATGTTTAAAATCTCTCTTGTCAAAATTACAATTTATTATTTCACGAAAAATGAATTCTAATTAAATATATTTAATATTTCTACTTTTTTTATACTATTATATTGGAAATTAAAACAACACTTTACACATTTCGAAAAATAAATAAATTTCAAGTAAGTGTAACTTTAACAAAAATGGTTAGAAAAAGATGTTCCGTAAAACATTTTGAAGTTTAAAATCTTTATATACTTTTCAATTACACTCTAAATCTGACTGATTTTTTATTATAGCTACAGAGATACAAAGAGAAATAAGTTAAATCTCAAAATTTGTTACAAATTTTGCAATATTTTATGTCATAAATGAGAGGTCGGATACAAATACAATTTATAGCTTCCAAAAGCGTGAATGTTTAACTTTAATTTGCGTATAGTTGTTGATGGTCATGAGACTATTTGCTAACCGAGATGCGCGGTATTGTAGCAAAAAGAGTATCTTTTAACTTTAATTGCTCAGAAAAGATGAATGGAATAACGCTAATGATAAAAAGTGCAAGGCTACGGGCACGGTATGTTTTGAAAGCAATGGGATTATGTGCGATAAAATAATAAAATAATGATGAAACATTTAAAACAAATACTTTTTTTTATTAGGAAGTGTTTTTCCAATTTTCTTTTATGAGAAGTTAAAGTTAAAGAGATGTTTTTTGCTTCATTGCCGAGATGACACTTGATAATCTGTTCTTCGAAGCCGAAAATTCGGCTACTATTTTTGGGGGAAAAGTGGGAAGGTAGACTTGAAAGAAAACAATATGTTGTACTTGTTCACTCACTTAGGTAAGTGTAACTTTGACAAAAATGTTTCTTTTTAGAATTTATCTATTGAAGTTGTATGAA